AGAGTACTTGCAGTCTTGGTCTTCTCTCAAGCTTTGGACATGGCATCACTTTCTTCAAGGGGATCGAGCAGCGAAGTTTCTCTTCACTTGGGAGACCCCACATTAAAGTCAAGCCAAAGAACAGGTACTTTATTCAAAAGATTGAAAAATAAGGTTCGGAATTAGTCCATCAATCTGTGGGTCTTTTTCATGTTTTTTCATCCTTGGTTTCTGAGAAAATGTGGTACAGGGAATCTAATGCCTTCGGTACTAATGACTAGTCCAATCAAATCTGTGGTGAAACCAACTCCGTATCTGATGAATTTTCAAGTTTTTTTTTTTTTTTTACTAATTTTTCATTATCCAATAACTACATATTGAAATCTAATTAATTTGAAATCAAGTTGGGTCGAATTCCATATGAGAAGAAACTCTCTCAACACCTGTTTTTTCATTTATAAGACTCAAACTCGAGATCTTATCTAAGAGAAATCGAGTTCATTCCATTCGGACTAACAAGTTATTGATGATGAATTTCCAAGTTTATTACACCAAGCAATGCATGTATAGTTTCTCAGCAAATTTGGTATGAGTGGGCAGTATTGCTTCCAATCTTATGTTCCAAATTTCCAACCATATTTACATTTGCCAAGTGACCTGAAGTTGGACGGAGTGGACCAACAAGTTGGCCTTAGTTGATATTCAACACAATGATTGCTTAAACTTTCCAAATTCTTGAGGGATAATAGGTACAAAGTTTACAAAATGGTTAATTGATCAAGCATGTTCCAGTGTAGATCCAAGGTAACTAAATTGACTAATCGACCAAGAGATGAAGGTATGGACCGAAAAGCATGTTGTTCGATAGATATAAGGCAACTAAACGTATATTACTGTTATAGACACTCATTGAAGGGTACTCCTTTGATTGACAATCCCTTATCAAATCAAAGTTGCCTTTTGATTCCCAAATTAGACATCAAGGATTTCATTTGGAGAAGAACCATGATATTCATTGGGATGACATGTAACTTTTTGTTGAGATTCTCCATTCACCAGTTCCAATAGAGAAATAGCTTGAAAAGGCTTCAAAAGTGGTCTTTGGCGACCAACAAATTGTTGAGACACTAATCTCATTGTTGGTCTAAACTCGGGGTTTACATGCAAGCAAGCAAATGCAAGTCTAGTAGCAACCACAATACTCTGGATAACATTTTTGCTTCTTGGAGGCGACAAACGTGTATCTAATATGGCATTGAGCATCACATTTTGAAAAAAAGATGGGGATGATGACAATGTCAATAGTTCTCCAGGATGCCTTCCCATTAGTACTTCTAATGCCACAACCCCAAAGCTATAAACATCACATTTTTCTGTCACAACCATCGTGTAGGCAAGCTCTGCACAGACAAGGCACACACTTAACTATGTTAACAGCAAAGAGTGAAATAACATAATAGAAGAAGATTGTTGATAGGGAGAACCTGGGGCAATATAACCATGAGTGCTAGCATGTATGGTATAATTGGATGAACCAGTTGGATCCAAAAGCCTAGCATTTCCAAAGTTAGAAACAAAAACCTCTAGTTCTAAGTTCAAGAGAATGTTTTTACTTGAGAAGTCTCGATGAAGAATGGGTGAAATGCAGTCATGGTGAAGGTAAGACAAAGCATGTGACATGCTTTTGATGATGTCCACCCTTTTAAGCCAATCTAATTCCACAGCTTCAACGTCATTTCTAAGGACACAAAATAAGCTTCTACTTTCTATGTATTGATAGATCAAAAACATGCATTGACCATGCATGCAAAACCCATAAATCCTTTCAATGTTTCTGTGTCTTATTTCTGTTAACGCCTTAAGATCATTCTTGAAACTCTCGTCGAAAGCTAGTTCCTCTGCTTTCCCTGGGTGAAATTTCTTCAAGGCAACCACTCTATTTGGCAACTCAGCTCTATAAACATTGGCATAGCCACTCGAAGCCGTGCAATATTTGGCGCTGAAATTGTTTGTTGCTTTAATGATGTCTTTATATGCAGCCCTTCCATCAGAATTCCATATTGAAAATGCATCTCCATTTATTGTTGGACTTGGATCTCCTCCCTCACTTTTAGCCCGATGCTTAAGAAACATGCTGACGTACGACAACACTATATAAGATACCAAGAAAATTAAAATGACAAGACACATAGCGATGGGAATAATGGTATCAAGATTCATGTTGCCAAAAAAAGGAGCTTTTCGTATAATATGAAGAAAGTTTGTGGATCGCGGTTTCTGCTAAGACATTACTTCAACTGAGAACTAAGGGCTCCATTAAGTTTGAAGCAAGTTTTTATAGTGTTCGCAGAGAAGATCCTGTCTTAAGCTAAAAGTCTTATGGTACAGCTTCCCTTTCTCTTCAAGGGATCAATCTGCGAAGTTTCTCTTCACCTTGGAGATCTAATTCCATTTTTTTTTTTTAAATTTTATTATGGAAGTCAAGCGAATAGAGAATAACGAAAGTTAATTCCAATTTTCAAGCAGTTCAGAATTCGTCCATCAATCCGTGGGAACATATTTTTCTTTTTCATAGTTTTCTCAGCTTGGTTTCTGAGAAAAAATGTGGTATACATGGGGAATATTCCAATGCCTTTGGCAAGCTCTGAAGCTGGCGTGT